CCCATTACTTTTGCGATTGGGGTAAGAATCACAGGTCCAATACTTACCTCTCACCATCTGCCAAAAATACAGAAGTACATCATTCAGCTCACCTTCGACATCCACGCAGAGGTGAAAGCTACAGGTTTTTAACTGAGAGCAAGACCTTCAGCTGACAGGAGCATGACTGCTATTGACAAACCAGTAATGTAGCTGGACTGACATTGCCTAGATCTCTGAATAAAAACATAGCACCACTTAGAACTTTTTCATTTCACAAGTCTATTCAGTTCTTCTCAAAATTTTTGGACCAAAAATACCTAGATAATTTGGCTTATGTTCATAAGTACGTTTAGAATGACCAAATCACCCCCTTAAAAATTAATAAGCCATCAGCAAAAATATATGCAATGTTACCTTCGAGATGCCTGTATTTCAAGGAACTGCATCACCTTGCCAGAAGCACCTTCAGTTAAATACTTATCTAAGATTACTTCTTTCCCATTTTAATAAGATGCTACATCTTTTGTTCTGTACCTTGTACTCCCTGCAGTGACTCTGCCTTTCTCCTGCAGGCTTCTTTAAGCGCTGTCGACCACACTTCTCTCTAAAGTCCCTTAAAGCTGAAAAAGATGAGCAAATTGTTTCTCTGCAATTAGTTAAGAACTTCATTGCTCTATGAGACATACCTGTGAATTAAACCAATGAATTGTTTCTTTGTACTTCCTCTAGAACACAAATTTTGGCACAGCAGGGACGAAGTGCTCCCAGGGTGTTTGTTCACCTTTTCTAACAAAATCAGCACAGACAGAAGCTTTAAATCCTGCATGCCAAACCCCAACAGCTTACACATCCAAATATAATCCTGTACATTCAAAAGGTACTTGCCCTTCTTTGTGGGATGCAATTAGAAAGGAAATAACATGTCCTGAAGTGGGCAAGGTAGAGTGAAATTAAAAACCCCACCCTCCCCACCCCCCCAAAGCAGGATGAAAGGCTACTACATCATTTTCACTGTGCCCACAACCTCAACACCTATGTACAAGCAGAAAAATGTCGTACTTTCTTAAAAGTCTATTTTCTAGAAATGACCAAACAACAAAAGTAAGCACACACTTGAAACAGTTCTTTGCAGCATATTTTCAGTTTTATTTATAAAAACAGAAGCTCCTTTAAAGTGTACAGTTAAAATCACAACTGTAAATTCAACCACAGCTGAGTATTATTTCAATAAAATATTCCTATCAACTGATGTAAAAATTCATTCGATTGTGATTTAAAACTCGATTCAGCTGGAAGATAAACTTACCAATACATTACTCATTCAGCAAATATTTATCGCACACTGTAAAAAATCCACTGGGTCCCTCCTGTTCATAGCAATGCCATGAAAATATTCACACATCAACTCTTCTTTTAAAAATGTAATTCTATATTTATGAATACAACAAAAACAACAACAAAAAATTTGCCAGCAAAATCCACCAAGGGTTTCCAAACTGCTGACGCCCCCACAGGGGGTAGTAACTGCATCATTATTGTACTTGCGTGTTTTCCCTTTGATCACCAAAAAAGTGACCTTCCAGCAGCTCTAATCTGTCTGTAACATTTTAATTATGCCAGGCAAAACGAAGTCACATAAACAAAAACAGCATGTGCAAATCTGGCTGCAATATTTACTCCATTGGTCTTTCAGATCAGAACTGGATCTCACTTTGACTACTCCAGCAAACTACAAAGACTGAAAGATTAATATAAGCTGAAGTAAAAACTACCAGTTCCTGAAAACTTAGGGAAACGGGGTCCTTCCCAAAAGGCTTGATAAGGCATTTGATTGCAAGATGTTGTGGTTCTAGTGGGGTAAAAAGTAGCTTGAGAAACTGTTTTTTTTCCCTAAACCTGGTTTTGCAGCCAAGACTGTTTGCATTTTTGAGCAAATGATTTAGTTTCATTGTCACACATGGCACTGATTCACCTCTTCGTTCCTCTTATGTTCTTCTCCCATACCACATTTTTTTCCATAACCCAGTGCTAGTGTAGCCCCAGACGAGGAATCCTTGCACCTAAGATTTAGCCAGGATTACAAACTTTGAATTCAAACTCCTAGGCACGTGCACCATCATTATATACGGTCATAGGGTATGGTGTTCGCGACACTACAAAACTGCCTAGGATTTCTGTTGCTATATGATCCTACTGAGCACAAATTCATAGTAGTAGGTGGTACAAGAAGGGTGAACATCTCTAAATGAGAAACACATTTAATATGATCAAGTTTCTACGTACAGGTGAGAATCTTGACCACTTGTAGCAAAGACAGCACAGGATACAGTGCGTGAAGATCCCCAAATTATACTCCAGGATTTGGTATGAACTGGGGGTATGCATCTGTGCAAGTCCTTTGTGTCTCTGCCTCTTTTTACACAACTGGAATAATGATAGTCATCTTTTTGACGTGTTTCCAGACCTATGGATGAAAAGCATTATTCAAGTGTTAGGTACATATTACTGTTCTCCTAAATGAAGTCCCACTGTTTTATAAAACGGATGATGTGTATGCCTGCTAAGACACCGCAAACCATCTCATTTTCATACTTGGGAAATAAACAGACGAAATAACGTATGGCAAAAGAGCTGATTACCTAAACTTCCCTTCCCACTTACACTTTTAAACTATTTTGAAGGAGACAGCCATCCTTACCTGGAGTATTCAAATTAATCTATTTCACTAAGTCTAAAAGACACTAAAGCCGTCATTTTAATTTAAGCACAGCAAACTAGAATGGATTCTAGTGCATCAGTCTAATTTAACAGTTAAATTAGTTAAGAAGCTTCCCAATTAAGAAAAGAACCTATACACGAAGCATCTTATTACATGTTTTAGAGCAAGTATTTGAGGCAGTGTGGCTATAAAGCAAAATACTGTAATTGGAAAGTGCTGAAAAAAGACTAGGACAGGTATAAGCTATTGCCCACATTTTCCTACTTGAGTACGTAACTTGCTATATGTAAACACCTATTGAAGTCTCTTATTTTAAGAAGCATTTAAAGTTTGAACACAAAAAGTACTGAGGATGTGTGGACCTCTGCTGATTAACACCACTTCCGAAAAAACAAATTCAAGCTGAAAAAACTGAGACACAAATAAAGAAATGCAACTCAAGAATAAATAGAAAACAACAGGTATAAACAGAGCAGGCATACACAACGTAAAAAAAAAAAAAAAAAAATTCAAAAGAACACTGCCTGAGTCAAATTGTGAAAACTTAAAAATTCTGTAAAAATAACTTTCCTTGAAGTAAGCTTTAATGACAAAGATTGTCACTGAAGTGATTTTAAAAAGTAACAAAAACCTTTAGATAAATATAGCTTTCCTTCAATGATCTGCAGATCGCAGTATTTTTAACTTACTCGACAACTTGAAGCTTACTAGTAAATGAAACTGAAGAAGGGAAAATCCTTCACCTAGCAAAAAAGGAAGAGTTACACAGAACAAAAGGGTGAATAATATGTTACATTCTAAAATGCTTTGCTGAGAAGGCTAAGGTGAATAATAACACAAGAAAAATCTAATTACATCCAGCTTTTGATAAACAAAGGGGAAATCAGACAAAATTTGCTAGGTTTTAGTGAAGCCTGTCATGTTTGAAGAGCACTTGGAGACGTTCAGCTTTAAGCTAGAAGTATTAACATGAGAACAAGTCCTTTTTACATACTGGAAGAGAAGAGCAGTTACCACTTTCTGAACAACAAGCTCACGCTATGCAGAAACTAATTTTTCATCCATGGATTTCAACAGCCAGAGACTCCATTATAAAGAAAGAAGTTAAAACTTGGACAGGAAGTCAACAGTGATAAGAAACAATGAGTATGTGGTGTGATGTTCAAGTCTGGCTCCACAACATGTGACTTTTCAAGAACGCAAAGAAATAAAGCTCAATCTCCTTTTCTTTTTGTTTTTGGCATCATCACAACAAAAACACAACAGGGAAATGGCTCAACGTTTCCTATTCATTATGTCTGGATTCAACTCATCTAACTAGTCTAATACCACAACAAAAAAATGAAGACACAAATCTGCCTTCCAGAGTGCTAGCAACATAAGATAAAAGATTATATGTAGCTACTTGAATTAATAACTAAGCCATAATGCCTGGATAGAGAAGGTTTTCCATGTGTCTTTTATTAAAAAGCAGATTCTGTATAAGGAAATAACTCCCGAATTGTTACTTTTTTTTTGATTGCTATTTATAATTTAATCTCCAATGGATTTGCAAACCAGTTACCCTCAATTAATTTTAAACACCTATCTTGAGAAATACAGCTTTAAAAGCAAAAGCTCTAAACCAACTTGGTTCCAAAACACTTATCATGAAAAACATAGGGAATAGCTTTGCTTCTTTCCACTTCAGTTTATTTTTTTGATGGGCACAAGCTGGTGAAAGGCATTTGGATGCAGAATAACTGGCCAGTTTTCAGCTGCTCACTAAAAAGCCTACGACTTCTCAAACCAGCTACAGTGATTTTAGAGCTTCAGAGTATTAGGATCTTCAGTTTAGACCTTTAAATATTGAGCAAACAAAAATGAAGAGCACTCTGTTGTAGCTCAGTTTCAACTCTACGTTACTTGGAGAGTAAACATGCTCTGATCTGTTAGGTTTATCACTGTAGGTTCTTAACCACTGCAACTTTTCAGACTCTTACTTGCCAAGTTCAAACAAACAAACCAACCCACCCTCAAACCAAAAAACCTTTGTATTTCGCTCATCATCGAGCAATCAAAAATTAGAAACATAACCCATTCTGTGTCAAGTCTGCGAGGTCAGGAAGGGGAAACAGCCTCCCAGTGAAAGATTGTCTTCAAAGTCATGCCAGGAGTGGAGGGGTAATGGGGAAAAGATTTAGTTTCACAAGTGTGACTGCTCATATTGGGAAGAGAGCGCCAGATAGATTCACTGCTAGCATGTAGCGAAGCCAGAGGAAAAGAGAATGCAGTTTTACTGACACAAGTGCTGATGTCTTCAGTGTTGCAGGAGCAGAGGTGATTTTCCCTTGTTTTCCATATTGTCCTCAGCCATTGCAGCCTCACAACTTGCTTCCCTGATGTTACATGTAACACAGCCCTTTGAAAAGGAACAAGAACACAGTAATTTAAATTCTCCTTTTTATATTTCAGAGTCAAATCCCAATAGCATGATACGTTGCAATCTCTTGAAACCTCTCACCAATGGGTAGAAGTCTCTTTAAAAGCAGAGATTACACAGATACCTTATTTTCAGAAGCAGGTACTTGCACCTCCAACTCTTCTTGTATCAGAAATTAATTCTTTGGTTAGTGGAACATACAGTTTTAGCTTTGAGATAAAAAGGCATGTGACTTCCTTGAATTTGAAGACCTTATCTTTCAGCTTTATAAGCAAGCTGCTCATTAAGGATCTGGACTGCAGACTGAACAGCAACAGTACTGACCAACAAAAAAAGGCTGAAACGCCCGAGTGTATTGACAGACCGGATTTTTCTTGTCTTGAGAAATGGCACAATATTGCAATAAAGTATTAAATCAGAAATTTTTGCATTGCATTCCTTTCTCCTGTCAGAAGCCTGTTTGCATTTGCAAAATGACAATCTATATTGGAAACATGACCTACTGCTTAGGAACAGTTTTGGCACCTTAGATGTCCAATACTTGTATTTGCATACCGATACATCTCATAACATTTCAGATGTAAACATTCAACAGAATTTTCTGCAAGACCACTGGACATCATTTTGCTAGCCGAATCAAACACGTGGTCCTAACCACAATAGGACACACAAGACTTTTATCAACAAGGTATTAGGAAAACAAAGACTAATTTTCTGGTCTTGTTCCAGAGCAAAGGGCATAGATTTCTCAATTTTGCTGCTCTAAGAATAAATACCACAGCTCAGAATGCCACATTTGAAAAATACTAGCACATAGAGCATGCAGTGCTGTCACAGACTTTAGACTTTTCTGTTGCATGAGTACATGAATGCAGCCTACTCTGCCTTGAAATTTTCTGCACAGCTCATCATTGGAGCTCTACATCTTTGTGGGACTAGTTCTGCCTTGCTCTTTTCTTCTCCATAGCACCTGGGAGCACTTTAAACCAATCAGGACATTCTCTAACACATACTAATGTAAATCAGAAGTAGTTTATCAGAGTGCCCAAGAGTTATACCGGATAAAATAATCAGGCATAAGATACCAAAATTCTTAAAGAATGAATCCACCTACAAAAAGCCAGCTATTTTTGTGTTTCTTACTATATGTCTGAACCTCCTCTATGATTATGAGCATTTTTCAGCTTGCTGAATACACTTACTCTAATCTTCACTAAGGTTCCAGTGTTACATGCTATTCAATCATAGCAGCAACCAACTTTATAAGAAAAGGAGCAAAAGACCTAACACCAACAGAAAAAAAACCATCACTAGATATAGACTCTTATGTACGAGTGCAACACTATTCCCATTCATCCAACAGCGTGACTGACAGACGTTGCTACAGGTGGTTCCTACACAGGATTTGCATACCTTGCAAAAAAATATAATGGAAAGACCTGTATTTTGGCATTTCTCATCTGGCTAGTGTACTCAAGCTCATTTCCTTCTTACATTTACACGTAATAACCATCAGTGTCCCCAGCACTGTAAGATCACATTGGCTAGAAATGGCACTGCCTCTGGCTAGCCAAAGCACAAATAAGCCACCAATTCCTTTCCCAGCTCCTTACTTGGGTGCTGATTTGCAGTGGGACAGTCTGGGTCCGGATCCACGTATGTACCTCCGCAAGCTCCTTCTTTTGCCCATCTGTAAACCAAGGCTGCTGCTTTTGCATGACTGTCAGCTTCTCCAGATCCTCCTTTAAAACTTCCTCTTTAACTCTGCAAGTAACAGACACCTGTGAACACAGCTGTACTAAATGTGGCAAGGCAGGCACTGATTAGAACCACGTTGGGAGAGTCTCTTCACCAGTATCTATGGCCACAGTCTAGACAGCAGCAGCCACTGAAAAGCAACTATACTTTGTTATACCTTATTCGCTTTGTAAAGCTTCTTTCAACACTGGCCTAACTGTCAGGGGGGTTTTGTTGGGGGTTTTTGGGTGTTCGGTGTGGGGTTTTTTGGTTCTGTTTTATTGTTTTGTTTTTTTTTAGATGTGGAATCTCATGACAAATTAAACATAAGCTAATTGCAAGCAACTTGCAAGTAACACGTATTTTTACCCCTTTATGCATTCAAAGTACAGGACAATAATCAATCCCCTTAACACTGCAGCAAAAAGGTTGCACGTTACCATATTTTAACTAATGGGGCAAATGGGGAAAAAAATAGACAAAGGAAATAGCCAGGGCGTAAAATGCACCAACAGTAAATTAAAACACCTTCTTGGAGTTTCATTGGTATGTGTGCTGTTTCCACGGTCTCATTTTTAATTCTACAGTTCTATGCACAATTCCAAACCACATGTCAGAAACTGTTGATGTTTTCCAACCTGTTAGGCATTTGGTAAGTCATTAGAACTTGCTCAGGTGCGTGATCCATCATCACCCAGGCTGACTCATGTTTGGATTTATGAGCTGTCCCTTTTTCTTCTGCTTCCCAATTCTTCTCTTCCTTGGGAGCTTCAGAAGAATCATTACTGGCAAAATACTTGCTGCTTTTGCCACTACCTGCTGAGAATTACCATGAAAAAAACATGAATGCAGATGCCCGAGAAATGCTAGTAATTCAGCACAAAAAGTAAAAGAACACCAGTGTATTATTACAAGCTAGTTCTGTAATACAAACACAGGCATTCCCAGATGATTGCTCTAGCAAGTGATTACTACCTACTGAGAATTCAAAGATAAAGTGCATTCTATTAAGTTACTCAAAATCTCCAAAGCTCTGTTTACTCTTCTCAAAAGTAATTGGCTCAACTTCTCTGCTGCTGTTTCAAGAGGTCCTGCTCTAGGCAGATTTACCTTTACTCAGACAAGATGCAAGCCAGTATCTAATGCAGAGAAAAGTGGTAACAAACAAAATGAAAGAGTGACTTACAGGTTAAAGGAATAGCTGCTTAGATTCCCATTTCCAGCTCCAGTGACTGAAACAAACTTGGTGTCAAACACTGAAAGCTGGTGAAAAGTAAAGACTACAGATCCTCTTATGGGATTTCCCATTCCCATTACAGTATCTTGTTACGAATTACCAACATGTTAGCAAGCCATCTAGCATCAAAGCACCAAACATCCAAATCTTGAACTTCCCTACCTGTGCCACAACCAGAAGTCTGGTTGGAGCCAGAGCCTAAAGAACCAGATAAAGCTGATCCACTGCCTGATGCTGCTGAGCCTGTACCTGACTGGGAGTCCTCGTACAGCGAGTGGTCAGTAAATACACCAGAAGCACAATGGCTAGCACTGTTACCACTATCTTCTGGATTATTGTCCTGGAGACAAAAATCAAAACACACACATCCATGGAAGTTACATTTTAAGTTTGAAAAAGGAAGTTCGTGCATTTACTAAATTTGTCACATGTTGACTAAGTTCTGCTATCAACTCAACAGGTTTGGAGTTTCTAGCTCTGAAATGAATAGCAGTCTAGAACTCAGGATAACACTCTTCATGGGCGAAATCAACAAGCATCCAGACTCTAGTTTACTGGTTTCTGTAGTAGATCCTTCCCCACTGGGTCAAGATATTGTACTATTGCATTAAGTTAGTATTTTCTCCTGGCAAGAAAGCAGGAGTCAGTTCCCTTCATGTCCTGTTAGATGGCATGAAGCAGCCATGCACATCAAGCAATGGTACGCAACAGAGAGAACAGGAGAGCCTTCCCCTGATTCACTATGTGACACTCACTGCTTCAGCGGCTACAGGTACACCAACTCCCCTTTCAGGACCCTACCCTGCAGTTTCAGCTGATCCAGCCTTTCCAGCCCAATCTGGATTCAGGAGCCAACATTTTTTTCCTTGCCTGCAGAGCTCAGATTCCTGCCTTTGAGTTTACCGCGGAAGTTGGAGAGGCCTTTTCTATGCCCATGTATGGAAACCGACCCACACGGATCCCTGTTCTTCGTTCATTAGCTGCATCCCTGGGAGACAGAGGGAGTAATTAGAAGCGTATCTTCCCTTTGTTTTGGTTCTCCACAGAGACTGTGGGACTGGGTGAAAAAGGATGCGGCACTAACCAAGTTCCACATGCATAAAAGCCCCAAACCCAAAATTCCTGCCGACAATTTAATTGAAAAGGCTGCTACCAAAATGCTGAGCAAAAGCAGCCTGTGGCAGCCTACACCAGAAGATCTCACATTTCTGTCATTTGCTAAGTGCCAGTACTGTAGCGTTACAAGTTCCCACGGGCGCAAGTATAAAGAGCTTTCTCCGCCTCCTGTGCTATTTGTGCCCTGCAGTCTACATAGCACAGCCACTGGAAAAAGCAGCTAACAAAATATGGTGACCCTGAAACACAGGTCATAATCACTGGTTTTGGTGACTGAACATCGTGGAAGTCAAGAGTTCCTCCTCTACATTAAAAATTTGCATTACTTACACATTTAGCTTCTGCACGTGCTTTAACACCAGTACTAATGGAAAGCTCCATAGGTTTTGGCAGCTCTTCTCGAAGCAAATTCAGCTGAAGCGGGGAGCTGCTCCGTGAGCTACTCAGCAGTAGGGCCTGGTGGCGCTGGCCCTCTTGCTGGTCCTCCGTGGATGTGGCAGAGGAGGCTGGAAAGGGCTGATCCACAGACTGCGGTGCTACTGGTGATGGAGCAGGAGGAGGTGGGGCTGGAGGTAGTGTAGTGCATGGATATGAAGAGGGGGGATAAACATACTGAGGGCTAGGAAGAAAGACATACTGAGGCATCTGAGCACACATGGGGAAACTCTGAAAAAATACAGCCATAAACGTGCCTATGTTTGGGGGATAAAGTGCTGGGCATGACTGCACTTCACAGCATAGCTGTGATGATGACACAGACTCAGGTTTTAACGAGCGAAGGGCAAGCTCTTCTCCTACAGAAGAGGCTGGAAAACTAGATAGTGGATCTGAATAGACAGGAAATCCCATAGGAGGAAGGACATTCATACTGGAGGAGCTCAGATAGGACACTTGTGAGGGAGAGAATGACTGTTTCTGAATTGTTCTCTTCTCACATGGAAGACTATTTCTATTTTTACTAGAAGAGTGGCTATCTGAGGACTGTCTCTGAGGTTTCTGGCGCTTGATTTTTCCATGTTTGCCTTTTTTACAGCTAGCTGGACTCATCTGCTTTGAAGGGGAATCTCCTAAGGAGGAAGAAAAATAGACACATTCACTGAAATGACAGACCGGGGGGAAAGAATTGTCTCAAAACCTTTTCTTCTCTCTTTCATAAAAAAGGGCCCCCCCCCCCCCCCCCCCCCCCCCCCCCCCAAAAAAAACCCAAAACCCAAACATCCAGATAATTAAGTGTGGCTTATTCGGAGAGCTGACTTTCCTACGGATAATTCTTCCATATGCTACAGTGATGGATTTGCTGACATATTTACAGTATTTTCCTTCATGTCATCAACTTTCTTATCAACCATTTTGGCTTATCCCAATCAGATCTTTCACATTCCTTCAAGGGGAGGCAATAAACTACTTGAGATTTGCAGGGTTTATTGCAGTAATTATCTGCTTTGTGAAAAGTCTAAGAGCAACATCCAAGATGGAGCAGACCTTCTGTGTGGGCAATGCTGTTGTCAAGCCTTGGCAGTTCAACGGAAGTATTCTGTTTGCAGCCATAGTAAGATACTTGCTAAATCATACAAAGCAGAACCAGACTCCACCACTAGGCTGGTCTTTGTAAATCATCTAGTAAGTCTTTATTTCTCAAAGCTGCTGCCTACCTTGGCCACAGGAATGTCCGTTGTTACTTCTGCTCCCCTGTTGGAGGTAAGTCCTAAATGGAGAGAGCAGGATCCTCTGGCGGAACTTGTCAACGTAGTTCTGCTCCTCCTTTTGAGTGTGGGCTGACAACGTCTCTTTTGTTAGCCCAATTGGCTTTAAGTCCTCAGGTACCATAGTGAGACTCTGAGCATTCACAGGAGGCAGCTCAATTTGTTCACTTCCAACAGTGGTATCCTCCATTGTAGTCACTTCTTTGAAGAGGGAAGAAAATAAATCACTCACTCTTTGCTCTGGCCTTCTGGTGTGAACTCCCACAACACCCAGAGGGTTACACAGAGAACAGTCTCGTCTGAGCTACTGAGCAGATACAGGCTGCAGAGGTGGGAGGAGAGAACACCCTTTACACGCAAATATAGTTACCCTAACATCAGCTGAGCAAATTAGTTCACACGGTCGGGAAAACTTCAAATTCACTTTGAAGTTACAGAGGCACTTCTTTCTTTACACTTTCTTAGTACAATAGCAGTTAAATACTCATTTTTATGCTTCTTTCTGCATTAAAACGAAGTAACGCTGGCCCATTTGTCATTTTTATTTTAATCCTCAGTGGCCAAAAGCACATCGTTGTATTTGAGATATATGTGAAGAAGTTAAAGGGGAGAGGAAACAGTGCACTCTGTTAAAACTAGGCTTTATTAAAATACTGTAAAAATTTCCAGGCTCAAGTTTTCTTCACAGTGTCCCTAAAAGTACCTTAATTATATTTCAGAGTTCATATTCATGAGAACATATCTCAAATGGACAAAACCTTCTCACTGCGTACTTCAGTCCGGAAACATTGGATAAATTTCAAAATCAGTGAGTCGAGTCAGTGTTTTGCGAGTGCGAACAGTACCTGATTCAGGGTGTGGGACATGCACTATAGTGCTGCTGTAACTGCACTGGCTGGTGACAGACACCACACTTGGAGCCTTGTTGGACAGGGTCAGGTCTGCCAGAGGAGCTCCCACCATGCCTGCAGCTGTCTGGTCTTTCAGCGACTCTTCCCGATCAGCAGATACTGGAGTTTGGGAATTAACTGCTGAAAGGATAGCAGTATCTATTAGTAAATGACAAAGTTTCCACATGGAATTTCATTGCAAGCACTATGCTCCCAATTCATCGCATCCGACTGGTTCAGAAACAACCAATAACTATGCAGACTACTAAATAAGACAGTCTTATACACAAACAAATGTAACATTCACATGCCAGTGCAATGTCAGCACATACTAAACATGGCATAAAATGACCGAGCAACAGAAGGTTCATTTAGCAACAACAAACCACAGCTCTTCTGATGCATTCTACGTTCAAGGACTTAGTATTGTAGCTGATGCTTAATTGTGAGATCTAGACAAGGTAAGCAAATATCTACCACATAACCAAAATATCTGTGCTGTTAGTGTGACAACAATTTAAAAAGTGGACATAAACCTTGGAACGTACAACAGTGGCATATGAAAAATAAATCAGTTGTCGCGGCTCTGTTATGATTGTCAGCATACTTTGTGTTACCTTCCAATGCCTCGACTTCCTGCTGCCTTTGCTGGACTTGCTTGTCATCTTCTGAAGATGACGACGATGTATTTGCAGAAGATTTAAATTTCCTTTTTAATGCTGGAATACTGCAGCTCTCTAGATATCTGAAATAAAAGCGTATCACAGGAAGCTCTCCCTGCTTTGTGTTTTTTCTCCATTTGGAGAGACAAATTTTTGAACAATCCAAACTGGAGATCCAGGGGTTGTTAGCTAGTATTTTAAATTCACTGTAGGAAGCTCTGGACACATATCTGCTTTCTAAGGAGTATTTTAAATAAAATTGATCAATTACTCTTGAATTACTCTTGGGGGGTGGGTGAGGTGCGCAGAGACAAGGGGAAAAAAAAAAAAGATTACATTATCCACTGGGTTAAAAAAATACCAATTTTTTATAAGTCATATCAACTTTCTGTTTTACACAGATGTTCTAGAAGTGGATATTGAGAAGACATTGACACATTTTGCCCATTGAAATTCTCTTAAGCTCCTGTTGCACCAATGGTGAAACTAGCAGTAGACAAACATCAATAGTTGCAAACAGAATCTTAGGCCCTAAATTCTTCATTACTGTGTAATTCAGATTGACTGAGCATTGGGATGGATTGCCCAGAGAGGCAGAAAACTTTACAAACAATCCCAAATTTATCTCAGAACTCGAAAGCCAGACAGTTTAGACCAATGCAAACTGCTTCGATATTTACCTTCCACCAATTAATCTTAAACTTATATCACTAAAATTGCTTCATAGTTTATTACCTGATGATACTATCAACACAATTGATCTGCTGATAGGAAGGGACACGCGGAGTCTTCTTTGAATCATCATAAAATGTGTTGCCTGGTCCTTCTGTGCTATCACTTCTCAATGTCTGAAGAAAACAGGAAGCAGCGTGCTTCTTCCCTAGAAAAGACGAAATCCTCAAAGACTCCTCTCAAAGGCATCTAAACACTAGCCCCACCAAGACACACCTATATAGATACTGGCATACATATGTATTACACAGGGATATATGGCCTATGACAGCACAGCTCTCATTACCAAGTTATTCTGCATTTTCATCTCAATTCACATGTTTTGAGGCAGGGGAGGGAGAAGGGGAAAGAATGCCTAAAAAGAAAAAATAAACCCCACAACGCCTTAATCATCCACTCAGAACAACTAGTAAACACAAAGAAAACAGCATAGAAAAAAAAAATATTGTATTTAAATTGTAAACAAAGCTGCAATTAATATTACTCTTCTCTCAATTTATACATCAGACTCCAACCTGTTATTTACAGCTTTTTATAGCATAGATACACTGGTCAGAGTAGTATCAACATTCACAGTGCAGTCCTCTTATCAACCAGACTAGGAGTTAATCATAACTTTTGTAGAGAGTATCACAGTGCAAAATGTTTTAATACAGATTCCTATGATATTTGAGGAAGCATCCAGTTTTCTTCATATATTTGTGCTAGGTACTAACTGCAAATAATGTGCATTAGCATAATATTAAACACTCAATAACTAAACCACTGCTCCAGTAGGAAGTGGGGCAGTGTTTTCCAACCTATGGATTGTTTCTGAAAGTCCACATAAAGTTAACTACGGGAAGCTTCCATAATAGACTTATACTTGCTACAAGCAAGTCTGCATTTTTACTAGAAAATGTTAAAATAAAATTAACCTAGAGAGACACAGATGCGTTCCTCCGTATCTCAGAGAGCAGTTAAAAAGTTATTGCATCTGCTGAGGGTTTTTTTGGGGTGGGGTGTTTTTTGTTTGGTTTTTGAATTTTTTTTTTTTTAAAAACCAAACACAAGAACAAAACACTTGCCACATTTAAGCCATGCTAAAATACTATCTTAAGTTCTTCAGCATAACACCAGCTAGCCAAACTCATGGCTACAGATGTACAGAAGTTCATGTTACCTTAAGGATCATAATTACATTAACTTACCTCCTAGCATTTCTGAGCTCACAGCCTTTTCATTTCCATTCTGTGTCTTGCTCCTTGACGCAATATACAGCTGCTGTCCCAGATTCTTTATTCGGTTGACATCTGCACAAACTTGTTGCAATGTCATCTTGAGATACATGAAAATGTGAAGTCAGAATAAAATGAATAAAAAGAGGCCATAGGAGACCATTAAGATGGTCTTGGGTTCTTGTATTCTCCAAACTGAAAGGGAATAGACTGTCAGCCTAAGCCTGGTATCTACTGGTATTTGTAAATTCAATGAATCTAATTATCACGGTTAATTTAATTAAATTAAATATGATATAGCTCAAACAGCCTCAGCACTTGAATGTTTTAATACTGATGCAAGCCTTGAGAGTGGAAATAAGCTGATGACTTACCCAGGAGCCTCACAAGGAAATTGGGTAATTGCAATGCTTGTTTTAGGACAGCACTGTTTCCACTCTCTTCTACAGCAGTCTACACAGTACCTCTAGTGCCCTTTTTAAAACAAAACAGAAAATCCCAAGCAAACAGAAACCCCTCCACATGCATCAATCCTCTTTCTGGTTGCACGGTTCTTCTGCTTTCTCCTCTGAGTCCACCGGTTCTTTGAGAAGACTGATCTTAAGCAAGTCTTCAATTTACTTTTATGAACTACCGTAGTAATCTGTTCATCTTAGTCAGCAAAATTAAGAGCAAAAATCCTCAAAAGCCAGCATTCTATAATTGACCAATTTAAGTACATTTAGCTTAAACGTAGCTGTATCTTCCCACTTCAGTAACGTCCATGATGAGTAATGCATATGTACACTGTAAAAATGTTCATTTTTAAAACTCTATTTTTACTGCTCTGCAGGCAGTGACACATTTTATAGACTTACTGGTTCCTGTATTTCCTCTGCACAATTCCCATTGGAGTCACTTGAAGATGCTATGCTGATATAGTGCTCATAGGAGCCATTGCTTTCAAGGCTTCCATAACCACTGGAAACATTGCTGTGAACTGGCTGTGTGAGGGGAAAAAAATAGTAATTAAAAAAAATCATCCTCTTAGAGAACAGAAAGAAGGGAACAATGTACTTTGCAACACAGAACTTCAAGCAAACCAAGAAAATTAAGTGAAGAGTCAGTATTGCTCTGGGCTCTACCACTTGTGCTTGGGAAAAATTCTCTGCCGTGCTTAAAGCTGTTTCAGGATGCAGATTTATCTTTCAACATAAAGACTTGGCAAATATGTCAAACAAACAAAATATTTTCTTCTAATCAGGTGGGCTACCCAGAGCCGTATTTTTAATGCTGTCACACAAGCCTGTCTCCATTTAGAACTTTCCTTTCAGACCTTTTAAAAGAAGATCCCCCCAAAGTAGTGTGCTAAACAGACCCAAGTTTCTTTAGCCTCTCATTCAGAAGGCCAGCCAAAGAATTTTGAAATTCTTTCATCATCTTTACCTGCAGAAGCAGCTTGTAAATTTGTCCTTGCAATTCTCTTATCTCTTTCTCAACACTGCTCATTTCTTTACTTCTTGCAGCAAAGACATCTTCATTCAAAGGGCTTCTGGAGAGAGCCAACAAAATGTCACTATTAATTCTAATTTGATGAAGAAAAGGTAGCTATAAACAGAACAGATTTTTGTTTGTTATCATCATTATTTTATCTTGATTGCTTCGCTGAATCAACACAAAGGGACGTCATCTGTTCCGCGAGCAGCTCTGCTACAGTAGTGGGGCACTGCTATGAGCGCAGTGCTTCATGTGAAGCCCCAGCAAAGTCAGTACACCAGCATAGTGACACAAGTTAAGGCTGACAAGCATCCACCCCTCTGCCTCCTTCACTGAGAAGACAAATTCACACCCCATACAATCTTGAATAAAAGATCACTTTGAAAAGTCAAAAGGCCACCCCAATAAGCCATTTCCTAGAAAAGAAACCAGGTAAGAGGAAGGCGAACAGTCGTATTTCCAAATCTCTTGGAAACTAAGGAAAAACATTGGAAAAAATAACTTGCACATTCAATACTAATTGTGTTTTTAAAAGAGGTTACCTTGGCAAATATTCAGATTCTGTATCAAGTGAATGTTCCAGAAGACGACAAGCCAAAAGTGATTTTGGCTACATGTCTGTCAATTAATGGTTTTTTGTGTGAGCCAATCATGAATGAATGTCAACTAATTGTTAAAGTGATCTACTTTTTACATTGCTTTTTAGCTTTTACTCAGTTTGTCTAAAACTGGTATTTTGATTTAGACATGTCCATTGTCACCGTATTTGAAAATCAACCATGTGCAAAAAACATATGCTAAAAAAAAAAAAAAGTTGGCTTTGCCTTTTACTTCAAAGTAGTTTACTTATTTTTGTACTTAATAAACAAGACTAATCCTGTTCTGAAGGAATGGGCTGCAAGACAGATGGCTAGGTAGTTGTCGCAGACTGCAGGAGCAACATTACATCTCTAGTTCAGTACTGAGACTGTTTTGTTTTGCAGAGCATTAAATGAAAAGCACTTTAATAGATCAATTCTACAACTGACTTACGTCCGGACTTTGTGTCGGCCAATGATGAATACTACTTTCCTGCTCCAAGGATTCACAAAACTGGACCAGCTGGTATCCAGTATGACATAATCCCCGTTTTGAGTACAAAATCTAATAGGTAAATGTTCAAAAGGGGGTTGGCCAGCAAATTTCAGGACTGAAAAAAAACAATCAAGAAACAAGGTTTAGTTTACATTATGACACAGTAGTGCAAGCACAAACACTAGCGACTGGGGTCCTTTAAAACTTTGGGTTTGAATTTGCTTTGATCTCAAACTGGTTGAATTCATTAATTAATTTATTTCTGTCTAGACTGCAGATCAGTCACACGTCAAGCAATATGATAATGAAAGAATGTTAAAACCAGTAGAAATTCCTCTTAAAGCAACCATACTTACTTTTCCGGTGAACAGCAATCATCAAAGGACGATCTTCCGGGTGCAAATACATCAGTATGGATGTTCCAATTAAATCTTGAGGTAAGTAACCCAACAAAGGCACTGCTCTGAAACCCAAACACATTATCACTTATTATAATTTAGTTTTGTTTTTAGTTATAATATAGTTTTGAGTATTTACATCCTTAACCCTTTGTTTGTCAGTGAAGTCCCCATGCATGATCTCCAATGGCATGAACTAAGGCTACAGAACGTTTTCCAGCCCATCTAATAATCCTCCAGTGCAATGCAGACACGTAAATACCAATGACTAACATTTCTGTCCTTGGAGAGCTAACAGATTTTCACATTTGCAGGCAGTTTTGTGCTTGTCTATATGCAAAGAAAAAAGAAAAGGTATCTTGAAGAAAGAGGTCACAGGCAAAATGTCAGTAAGAAATCTGACATGGATGCTGCAACGTGTGCTGTAAAAACACTCTTGTGGCTTTGCAAGAGACAGCCTTAGTCTGGCCAAATTTATTTGACCCAGCTCAGTACAGCTGTATCTCCATACTGTGATCCCCAGAGATTTGCATTGTGTGGGTTTTCCACTGTCTGCGTTACCACAGGTCCCCATTGCCCTGGATAACGAAAACTGACTGCACTTCTGTTTAATTCACATTTTAAGTCAACAAAGGAGATTACGTCTGTGGAGTTCTAGATGTTTTCCCATGAGTGGACTAACGCAAAACTACATTGTTTAATTAACTATTGCCAACTGCACAGTTCAACTGCTTTACTTGGGTCTCCAGCTGCATCACCAAAGGATTTTTTGCTACCTCTCCATACACATCTCACAGGTCTTGAGACTCAAATCTCACCTGTCATCTATCTCAAGAAAAACACATCCAGGCGTGTGAGTGGTGGTGAAGATTCTTTTATCCGTAGGAATTCGAGGAGCTAATAGGAAAAGAAATATTTACTGAAACAAAGTACGCACTAAGACAGAAAACCTGTTACTTTTGCTCATGATAGAGCGTTATTGGCTCCTGATCTTTTTAACTGTTCACTGTTTTCTGACCAGTAACTCATTACACATTTTTAGGTGCTAGAGACTTCTCTCAAAAATAAAAATAGCGAGATGAGGTCAAATGCTTCGGGGCCTTGCAAAGAAGGCACAGATGCTCTGGATTCACATGCATGCACACACACGCAAACTGGAAGTTACATGGGTGAGACTACCCAAGCATGAGTTCTAAGCAAAGGAAGCAGACTTTCATATACTGCATTTTCCTGTTAGCTTGCTCTTTTCACTGGAGTCTCCTGACTTGCCTTCATATCCAGAGTGAATTTTCTCAGCCAAAGCTAAGCAGCAGGATTCTGCATCCACATGGACAGAAGTACGCACATGGACCAAGTACGGGGTGATTCGGAAGGGGTAACAACGCATTTCTTGTTCTTGATCTTTACCACCCCTGAGGAAAAGTAAAAGGGATTAATTAACACGCTGGTTTCAAGACTCAGATACTTTACGCCAGGGCTGAGAGCCCTGCACAGAGAAGTCATGCTGAGCACACAGACCCAGCTAATCAGAATGTCCCGAGGTCCTCCGCACACTCCCTTGCGCTCCAAGGCCAACACATTCAGCAATACTGGTCTTGCTCCCCTTAAAACCAAGTAGGTGTTTTGCCTCCAATACTTGCATTCAGAGGCTGTTCTAGAAATGTCATTACTTTAATGGTTAAAGACCACCTTCTAATTCTCAGTCCAAATATATTAATGAGAACCACTCATTTGGTCTTGTGCTCTCCTTCAAGTTAAACAGTTCTTTTTCTGTTTGTTGTTTATTCTCTACCTTTTTTTTTTTTTGGGGGGGGGTGGGGGGAGGGAGGAAGTCTGTCTCTATCAAGTTGTTTCCACTGACCTACGTAAGTAAGACCCCTCCAGCCTCAGCTCACAAACAGTTGTTGTTCTTTGATTGTCTCCCTCCCATGAGAATTTGTCTTCCTAGAATATGTGTGAGCAGCAGCAGCACACAACATTCTAGATAAGATCTTAGCCAGCAGGGCTTTGTAACAACTGCATTAGCGATTGCCTATTTCTATTGCGAGTGCTTTTTCACCTGTTGTAACTGCAGTATCTTACCCAGCTCTGACAGAAAGAATTGAGATAAATTTTTGGGCATTATCACTTACACTAAAAGTTACTTACTTATTCCACACTTAGTTTTGTGAAATGTTTCTAGAGAGAAGTTAGCATCATAAAAACTACTACTGACAGCTACCCCTTTTGGGGGGCGTGGGGGGGAAGATACAAATGGAAATTGGATGTAGCAGAAATTTAACCCACAAAAACCATTTTCATACTTAAGCCTAGTGTGTGCTTGTGAAAAAATATTTTTACTCATGAAGCCCACATAATCAAAACAATCTGCTATATAAAGGAAGGAGAGCTGTCGTATGAAAATCTGAAGAAAAACTATTGCAAAATGTTTATGTATCCTACACAGTTCCCCCAACTTAAAACTTGTATCTGTCCTGCTATATTTATTGCAAGTGCCCTTACACAATTCAAGAGACAAAGGTGATTTTAGAGCTTGGGCTTTTGAAACACCAATGAATGAATCAATGATCGATTGAAAGATGGAATAAGTATTACATCTGCTCAGAAGCAAACAGCTCTTGCTGAAATCAAGAGACCACCCAAGTCTGGAACAGAACTGCACTGAAGATCACAGGACAATTTTTTTTTTTTTTTTTTTTTTTTTTACACTCTCCTCCTTTTAGCACTAAGAATAGCCAGGCACAAAGCAATAAACTGCATCCATAGTGACAGCAAGTAGTATCTCACAATTCAGGCCTCATACTGGGACTCGGATGACTGAGTTTCTGTTACTGCTGCCATCACAAACTCTCGAGCAATCTTAAGCAAAACACCCTTTGCCTCCACTCTCAAACTGGGAGCAGCAGTTTTTCACAAGATCGTTCTTCTCCTGCACAACAGTACTGAAGGAAACCGATAGGTCCAAAAGAAACATGTATGAACAGTTTTCCTTCTATCCCCATGCAAGTTTAAGCATCACTATGGGAAAGATATCCAAAACATCCTGCTGGATGCCAATATTAAACACAATAAGCCAATTTTGTAATGGAGTTCCACGAGCTCACAGTGGTCAGCTGTAATAACAGAACACTCTTTCTGCCCAGTACTGTACCCTTTGACCAGCCTTCACAAACATAAAACTGTAATAATGTACTTGCCTGATCCTGCAGAAAAAGGATTTCACCTGGGCATATTCATACAGAGAAGCTAACAGGAAGAACACACATTGAAAGTATCAGTTAATATGCTTAAAAAGGTCACACCTATCAGAATTATTTTAAACTCTGCATTCTCCAGACTTTCTGAGCAAGACCAAAGTCTCACAACCTGCTCTTTATTAGCTACCGAATTAGCTGTTCAACAGTCCGCTCCCACCTCAAATGTTATCTCTCTTCTCCAGCCCACTCACTCTTGGAGAAATGGCTAACCTGGAACTAAATTCAGAGGAAACACATATGATCTAGAAAACTCCTTTCCGCAGTGCATCGCTACGGAAAGGAAAGGTGAAAATTCCTGTCTTTATGAGCCACATACCAAAAACTACATACAGCCAAGAGTTATAAGGAGAGGAAAATTCAGTAACAGTTCACAGCAAGACAGTAACAACAACTCCACAGGGGTGCCACTGCTCTGCTGGGTGGCTTCCAAGTTGTGGAATCCCTGGCACATTAGCGCTAGCAGCCTCTGATATCTCACATCCTTTGGTAGCAAGGATTTTGGACTTCCCAGCTCTGATGCCAGAATAGCCCCACGGCCAGACGGGCACAAGACACAGCCTTGGCATGTGAGCTACACTTGAATTGCTCACAAATAACACAGGACTCAAAAGTCACCATTTAGGCACATCCAGCACTAAATAGCAAGTCAGCTTGAAACTTGGGTTCAATGAGCTACCTTCGCAGCAGGCTGCAAGCGGACCATAAAGACAAAGCACCTAAGCAACTGTAAGATGTAGATTAAACAACTTTAAACTCACAATTAGACCCTTACTTTCTTTTTAAAAAGCAGCAGTATTTGGAACGAGTAAGATGGTACACAAAACAATGAAGTATCTGCCTTTTACCTACCCCAAGTAAGAGTTAAGCCTCTGGGAGACTAGCCAGGACTAGCTGCTTAGCTACTCACGTTTTCAAAGTGGAAAGGGAACAAGTGTGGCCTATGTACATTGCTAGTATAAGCATTTAAAATGAACAACTGTTCTAGTCTCATTCTGCAAAGACAGAAAGACACATAAAGCATTTAAGAGCATTGCCAAGTCCCACCTGTTTGACTTTCCATGTTCCACAGTGGCAGGTGGGACTGATCGGTGTGCGTGTAGAACACGCTCACATCCTGAGGGACAAGCAGCTCTACAAACCGGGAGGAGTCCAACACTTTCTTCTTACAGTTTAGAATGGATGCTGCCTGCTCAGAAATATGCAGTATGCGTCCAGAAAGCAAGGAAAACACAGCCACAAAGGTGTCCTGGAAAACAAACATTGTTAAAGGCAATCCTCCCCCAACACGTGGGAGTGATACTGTAAGGATAAAAACCCAAAACAAAACCAACCCCCAAACAAACCAACCAACCCAAAACCACCGCACACCACAACTGAAGACACAGGTTCAAAAATGCGTTCTGAAGTTAGCATCCAATTAAAGTTGTGCGTGAGCTACTACAATCTCCAATGCTATAGTAGCTTACTCAGGATTTACAAATGCTAGTAAGACTGCAATATCAAAATTGAAGCAGATGACAGCGATGCTTGCCATTGTCCAGAATGACTGGTTATCACTCCACACACTTCTCCCCAAATTTCAGAGTATTCACCACAATTCCACATACAAAAATATTCTGAGAACTTTTCAAGTAGAAAGCATTTGCAGTATTTCTGATATGGCATCTAACAGTACTGAGTCTCAAGAAA